ATAGGCATCACTGCCTACGCCGACGTCCAGAAAGGCCCGCGCATCTACATTTTCCCGCCTGACCCCATCAGTGCCGACCCAACTCCACCACCACACGCACGCCTCGCGGCGGATGCGCAGCAGCAAGAAGGTTTCGGTCATCCCTTGAGGGTGAGTCTAGCCCTGCTCGCCAGAAAGACCCCCCCCTTCGCTACAACCCATGTCTAAGCAAAAGCTTGTCGAGGAGCGAGGCGAAGAAGGGTGCGACACACAAAAAGCCCGACTACCCAACAGTACCCAACACCTTTCGTCTGCACCTTCCCAACATAACATATCTGAGACACACAAGACAGCAACCAAACTGATTTGTTGAGCCTGTTACCCACAGGGGAAATCGTGGACACACAGGTAGTTTTCTCTGACGCTATGACTCCATTGTCAATCTGTCTCTGACTCTTTTCTATGATAGAGATGGACTCGTTGTGTCATATTAAGAAAAAAAAAAATAGGAGGACGCTTTCCACACCCGCCGAAATAAAAATCCCCAGTACCAGTACCAGCACCAGGCACTGCGCACCAGGGCATGGGAGTAACGGAGCAAACAGGGCAAAGAGGCGGCAGATGGGCAGACAGCCAGACGTACAAAAACAAAGGCAACAGCAACNACACCCGCCGAAATAAAAATCCCCAGTACCAGTACCAGCACCAGGCACTGCGCACCAGGGCATGGGAGTAACGGAGCAAACAGGGCAAAGAGGCGGCAGATGGGCAGACAGCCAGACGTACAAAAACGAAGGCAACAGCAAAGCGAGCTCAAGGTACCCAACACAGCAGAGTAGGCAGGGAGGTCGTGAAAAAAGAAACACAGCACAGAGGCCGAAGGCAACAAAAAGGACATACGGTCCGTGCACAACAATTTGTCCAATTACGTTTTGTGCGATAACTTCTTTTCGAGAAAGAATGGGAACGTGAAACAACGATAGTCGTGACCGCCTCGTCGAGATACGTCGATAGCTGCAGAGTTTTTTTAATTTCGGCGATATGCAACATTTTTGGCGAAAATCATCCACGGAGCCCCCTAAACACGACATACCTCCCCTAAATTCATCCACGGAGCCCCCTAATCTTCCCCCCGGGACGCCCACCACCCTTCTCAGTGCCTGCTTTTGTACACCACGGACACCACATGATTGGATTTGTACAGATAGCACGAAGAAAAGTTGGTCGACGACACCCATGGGGAGAAATACCATCACTTCTTTATAACTTTGACGAATCTCTGCACACACAAACGAAAATATTTATAAAGCAGTATTGTTTACTGCTGTATATTGCTAATACTCCGTATACAAGATCGGCACGAAGAAAGGGAAACACGCACCAAGCACACAACACAACAAACCTCGGCCAAGCTGTTAAGCAAAATTTTGTGCAGCACTAAAAGACACACATCACTACGCATCGTTCTCGGCCTCTTTTTCCTCTCCCTCCTGCTCCATGGCCCGCTTCTTCTCCTTTTCCTGCTTCCACTTCTCGAATGTCNGTACAATATTTTGACCAAAAAACAATACTGTGTACTGCACAAGCAAGTCCCTACCACCCTTGACGGTGAAGTTGGTTGAATTGGATGATAGTTTAGTAGCGGACTTGGGCCACCTACAGTAGTAGTTCATCAATCACCGTGTGTGTAGAGGATGCCGGTGTTCTAGTGGTGGTGCGATCACATGCAGAGGAGCAGAGGATCCGGATGTGTATCTATCTGTATTATTTCATGTTTATTGGGCCCTGTGATCGCGCAAGAGCTCCTGCCAACTCCTTTCAAGCTGACAGCGTTCAGACTCACGCACGCGCATCTCAAGTTTTGTGACGGAAGGGCGGGTCGAAGGGGGCGGTCATGTGCTTGATGACGTGGCTGTGATTGGGGTAATCCGTCGCACTCCGACACTCGACACCAAGCCTGTAAGTACGTCGATAGAATCCCCCGCGCTCCTTTCATGCACGGTGTAGTCAGCGTGCCGCGTCGTGATCGTCATCAAATTTCACTTGGGATCGATTCCCTCACAGGAAACACGCCAGATATCTTTCATGCGTCGTTAACTTGTTCCCCGTTTCATGGTCGTTCTTCATCAGATGATTACTGTTCGTGAGTCTGCGAACATTGCTGTTGGATACATGTGCTGGATGATTTTGTGTCACGCAGACTGGTAAGATAACCGTTTGATAGGGGGCACCGCGATGATTCACGGGGCCCCTCCTTGCTGTGGGAGCCGCTCTTTGAGTACTCCCTCTTTCGTCCGTGTGAAGGATGGTCGTCTACCTCCCGTGAAGTTAATACATCACCAAAACAGTCTCACCCGATAAATAAGTGGCGTAGGCCGCAAACACTCTAAGGTTTTGCCCCTCGAGGGAAGCCACATCGGGATGAGCTCTGCTGGAGACGAAGAGCGCGCTGCTGCGAGCGGAGAACAGATCCGCCCGCCGGTGCAGGAGGGCCGCGACGCGGAGCTTGCAAGTTTGCAACGGCAGATTTCGCAATTGGCGGCCCTGGTGGAGGAGTCGGTGAAGAAGAAGGAGCCTGGTAGCGTCGTGGCGGATGCAGCCAGTAGTGGCGGCTGGATTGCCGCCACCGGAGGCCAAGATCATCCCCTGCTGCCGCACGGCAGAGGCGGGGGATTTCTCCAGCAGCAAGCGAGAGATAGTGGGCAAGGACCACGGCAGCTGCTGGAAGGCGGCTGGGCCAGCAGATCGGGAGCGAACCCTGTTGGACCAGCCGGAGTGGGCCCGGGCATAGGACCGGACTACGGGGAAGCGAGGGGGTTAAA